TATCCCCAGCCCTCGTCTACAGCTGAATGATTTTTTTTTCTGGCAGACGGTGTTATGTACGATCTTGTGCGGTGCCGGCTGATTTGTAATGCTGCAATTAGCCAAACAGAGAGGCCGATCAACAGGAGTGTGGAAACAACTAACCAATGTACAGAGCCTAGTAGTGTTCGGGGTGAAACTGATGGTCGGACATTCGTTGGAGGTGTTCAAAGCAGAAAACCAGGCTCAGTCCTCAGTTCATGACCGTGCCCACCAAGTAATCCGGAAATTCTCCAGATATCTGATATATAGCAGCATTCTGGCTTGTTTACTTACAGTGGACACATCAACAACCCGATCATCTATGCCGATCGATCGACTGAATTCTGCATTGCAGTAGCTAATATGGAGAGACTGCGCCCACCTGTTCAAGCTTAAGTATGCACTGCAGGCTCTCTGGGACCCGTTGCAGCACACTGAAATCTCGCGGAGAGCCTGGTCGCCACCGTAACATATCTAATTCACACATATGGAAGGACTTGTTGGTAATTAATCGGTAGGCCCGACAAACAGAATACACAACTGGATCTTTTCCAGATAAGCTCCGCCACCAATGCAAAAGTTCATGTGTGAAAAGTTAAGTCCCGCCACTTTTTGCCAGCTCCAACTTCATGTACGCACACAACCTTAACCTATTTCTGATGAAAACAATTCCTTATCCGCATCTTGACTCATTCTGTGCAAAAATTTTATCCGTTCGGACGTAAAAACTTAAATGAATTTTCTGACACTTTCAATTCACGTTCATGACAAGGAGACGGCAATACATTTTTTGCAAAGCCATGGAATGAGCCATCAGCAACGTTTATGCAACAATGGCTACCAAATGACACTAAACCGTTTCTGACGGGTGAAGGTGTAATGCCTGACGGTACCGGCAAGAAATCGCTCTTTGAAAGGGAACTTGGCTGGAGCGGTCTAGGATGGAGTTTGGAACAGTTATTCTATCCATTTATTGCTGATCCAAAAATTTGCAAAAAGCAAATTCTGCTCGGAGGAATTATTTATTAGCCACACAACCGCTGTTGACTGGAAAAACTTTCTTCGCAAAGTTTGCGCCTGGCGGCTTTTGCAAACTCCAACGATTAATCATACCGAAAACTTTGTGGATCCAACGACTGGAGCTCGCACACAAACCATCGAATCTCTTTGACACGTTTACAAG